GGTGAGGGATATTCTCCTCAGCATGAAGTGCCTAGTGGAGCAGTCAGTGCCTGGCACTGGCACAGTGATTCGACTCAAATGGAGTGCTTCATCTTTCCAACTGTAGCTGACAGGCATTTGTTGTTCTCCCTCAGCCACAGGGTAGGTACAAGCTCAGCCAGACTGGTATCTCACTATTCTGCAGTCTCTGTGCCAAGTCTACGCTTAAGGATATTCCAATAACTCTCGTCAAAATTTCTGTTTAAAAAAAGATGTTTAGAAATTTTTTTGGAGGGGAACAATCAATGAATTAGTGATCAAAAGTGTTAAAGGAAGAGTGACGTGTGTCTCTTGCAGTCTTCACACCTATCACCTACCATAAGGTTTTTCAGAAGCTGACTGTGCCATATTTCATCTAGTTACCTGCTTTATGTGCTCAGAATGAAAATGCAGAAAATCCCATTCCCCCCAGGGAGATAAAGGGCTATGTCACACCGCACAGCTGAACGTTTCAGAGCCAGGCAAACTTGATTCAGTCCCTGAACCTGTTCCACTGGTGCTTGAACTGCCCTTATAGAGGTGGCAGAAACCCACAGTGCAAAATGGGAAAGATCACTGTAGCACAAGGTCCCTATGTGCAAATGTTGTATCTCTGCATAATGTTATGACTCTCTTGGTCATTTCTGCTTCCTGTCAATGCTGTTGTTGCCAGGAGAACCCCAGCAGTCTCTTTTGTGCTGTGTTCCTTTCAAGAACTTTGAAACCAGCAGAAGGGAGTCTGGCTGTTTTCACACTGGCTGAGCCATGTTCTTTCCTGCCCCTTCCCCATCTGTGCTGCCAAGGAAATAAATCAAAGCTGCATTGAAAGGGCAAGGTTACAGGTGTTATTCTAGACAGAAAGTTTCATGAAGCGTGCCAGATCACACAGGCGAAATTTCATTACTTGATTTCCAAGACCTTGGGTCAGTGGCTCCTTTTCTTCCCCTCTGTTTTGAAAATGTGTACAGCATGTTATTTGGCAGTGGCCTTCTCACTGAGCGTATATGATACACATTTCTATGCACAGGTAAGATGTAGCACATGTGAGTATCATGTGGAATACCTGTGCTTTTTATGGTCATTAATGTTAGTGTTGTTTGATTACTGTTTTCATCTTAGTTTTATATGGTTACTGTGTCAAGAATTTAAAGTTTTTTTTTTTTTAAATTTCATTCATCTTGGCCATTAAGAAGACACTTTAAAAAGAAGACCATCTAGATAGGATGTATCTCATCGTACCTGAACCGTATGTAGACTAGGGACCTTGTCCAAGCAAAGCGTTTAGGCTCGATCACTTTCTCTCTCTCACTATTCAGTTAAGATAGCCAGAGTGATTCATCTGGTATGTAAGGCAGTGAATCATCTAGGGATATTGTCCTTCTCTGTGATGGTGATGAGGAGAGCTCAGATGACTAGCCTTGGCTAGGTATTAACTTCAGGCTAAAAGAAATGTGTTTTTCTTGCTCAAAGCCAGGGAAGTATAAGTTCAATTTCCAATTAGCAAAGTTCGGGCGCTCTTTATGTTCATTTTCGCCTAGAGTGCTCCAAGTCTTTTAATGGCAGCTTTTGCCCACAGGGAAATTGATACACTGCAGATGCTTAAGCATGCCCAATGTTTCTCTTTCCCACATCTTCAGTGAGCATTGCTTGCATGACGAGGCACAGACAGAGATTCCCTTTTGCCAAGACTGCAAAGGCAGCTTTAGCTTTGGGCCGGATGTACTTAGACAGCTAGAATGGAAATATCAGTGTCTAGTATAAGGTGGAACTCAGATGAACTCGGATTCATCTGTCAAAAGCCTCACTCCTGGCTTTTTTTACACCAGCAGTGTATCTAGGTCAGCTACAGGCTGGGGTTTTCCTTATTGAAGCACTTTTCTTGTTGGAAATAAAAGTGTACTTGTATGAAAATGCTCTGGACTGAAAGTTTGTTCTCCTTCCTGTGGGATACACCTGTACTTTTTAGATCACTGTTGCTTTTTCACACTGGGCCAAGCAGGCCCCACATCAGAGCTAAAGGGACCATTTATGTTCCTGGCTAGCATGGTGCAAACATGGTGCTTGCTTTGTTATAAGCAAGCACTGGAGCATAGTTACTTGTTATCTTTACAGTTTATGCAAGATCTCTTTTCTCTGGAAAAAAAAAAAAAAGAAGAGGGCTCCTGTGACTCCTCTTCTACCACAGTCATGTTATTTCTAGTGCATAATGTGAAAAATAAGTCAGGGGGCTTTAAATATCATCTTCTTAAGAGAATGAATCTGAATTCAGTACAGCTGCCTATTGTAATTGAATGTGTAACAACTGCAGCGCAGACCTTATTTCAATAGTCCTGTTCCTCATCTTTTTATGCATATGTAAATATTGTCTTAGATTATCTGATTTATGTAACTCAAGCATGCACTACACTATCTGTAGTGTTGTCATTCAAATCTAAGACTAATTCTAGAGATAAGCTGAATCATTTCATAATTATGAGGAATCACGCGGAGGTATCTCAGTGCTTACAGAGGAGTGTCTTGCTGTACCATACTCCAGATTTCTCAGCACGGCCAAATCTTCTTTTAGTATGTTATAGTTTAATTAGCTCCAGATCTTATATTCTGTTTCTCTGGGGTTGTACAAAAGTAAAAAAAAAAAACAGCACCACCACCAACAAAAAAAAAAAACACATGACGTAAAATAGAAAATGTAAAGAAGTAATTGTGATCTTTGACACGTGGATTTGGTACCATCTGTTAGCATGACTTCTAAAGTCAGTATCAAATGTGTTTGTTGAGTTGGATTTTCATGCTGTTTTTCATAACATCTTGCTTCGTTGTGAAGCTGTCAGATATAGCTCCCTTGAGAAAGCCTCATTGCCAGTCTGATACAAGTGGCAGGAGAGTGGCAGAATCCTCTCCTGTTTAGAACTGCCATGCTTCCAGAAAGCAGTGACACTGTTTATTTACTCTAGCTAAGGTTCTATCCCATGAAATCTTTCAACAGCAAACTCTAATTGGGCAGTGAACCAAAATATCACCCCAGGGGAGTAATTGCCATGAAAATCCTTGTCAGTGTTTCCTCAGGTGTGTTGGGGGCCTATGGTCTTCCTAAGCCACTGAATGGAATATTTGTATTCTATTTTTTACAGTATTACTTTGCCATTAGCTTGATCTGTTTTCTCCTCTATCAAAAGCATGTTGATGTTTCTGAAATTTCATCCTCTTTTTCACTGCTTTTGTCTTTCAATAGCAAAGTGTTGGAAGGGACTTCAAGAGCTTATCTATCCAGAAGCTATTGAGCATTTCAGAGATGCCTCTCGCTTTTGGACAGCATCATCTACAATGGTGTCTGTCCTGACCAGGGCATCTGGGTACTCTGGTTCCTGTCTGTGCCCCAACCATCATCTTGTGTGAAAAAAAAAAAAATAAGGTCTGGTCAATCTCTTCTGCCTATGAGTTCTTCCTGGACTTCTCTTCTGCTTGCTGAAGCATGTGGTACGTAACTCACTGATCTCAGCAGCACAAAGACTGCATGGTTTGTTAGATCGGCTGCTACAGCACAGTTTAGCTCTCCATTCCAGTGTCATTTCTGGATCTATTCTTAAAGACCTTCACTCTGAACCTTCTGCAGTTAACTGCTCCTGGTTCTTCACTATCAACTTTTTGAAAGAATTCCTTGTGAGTGTGCTTTCACATGTCAGGTATTAGTTGTCATGCTTTTCTTGATGTTCCTGTGGTGTTTGGAGGCACAGTATACCACTGTATACCACTCTGTCACTGTCATTGTTACCCAGCATTCAGTCACATCTCGGTCAGTTCATCCACAGAAGCTGCAGAGACTGGTGACATCAAGGCTGTATATATTCTTACTGCTTAGCATTTTCTAGTCTTATTTGCCTCCTTGGTCATATTTTGATCATACAAGTTCAGGAGAAGGAGAATGGTGCAATTAAATGAGGTCAAGATTAATCTCTTGAAATCTGTACTAAGAATAACCACTACCCTCCTAGAACAGGAGCAGAAAATAGCAGCTTTGGTCACTTTGTATGATGATGATTGCAATAAGAATGGGAAATAGTACGCTTCCCTCATGTCTCTTGCAGCCTCTAGAGTCAATGAGTGATCATTTTTGTCCCTTCTCAGATTGAGGAGTGAATGACTAATGTCATTGTGACTGCTGCCATCTAATTTCTGCAAAAGAATTCTCTGGTAATTCTCATGATTGGCATCATTTCCCATCATGTGCAAGTTGTTGGATAGAAAAGACCTTCTGTACTGTCATGGTATGAAGAAGATATAGAAGTCCTGGGTTTCTAGAGCAATTCAATGTATATGAAGCATGTATGAATCAGTATTCTGGTCTTCTTACACAGCAACTCATGATGACTGATCTATTTCTACAGTTGCTAATTATATTATGTTAAAAAATACTTGGTGTTGAAGTGACTTTTATGCAAAGTTTCTATGAAGTTGTGATTTAAGGACTTATAAGGAAGGTATTACTGAAATATTTTGCTTTGAGTCAATATGACCCATTTCAAAACAGTTTGTTGAGATAGATTGCAGCTTGTTGCTTAACACTAAGCCTAAATGATCTACCTGAACTGCTGGTGTTTTTGGGACAGGTGACTTTGTATTCTGATTATCTCTTACAGCCACCCCCAGCTCTCTATTACCTAACCAACAGTGTATTGCAGTCTGTATTCTTACCTACCGTACTGGTGGATCATGGGAAAAAGCTTGGTCAGAAAGCCTCATTCTGGCTGGATAAGACACACCTTTTGTCAAGTTGGGTTGAAACAGAATGTTCTGCCTTGGTTCAACTCATTGAAATGAAATGTTTCCATTCAGGAGTACCAAAACATTTCATTTTTTGTCAAATTGTGGAAATAAAATATTTTGGCACTTGCTAATGTCAGAGTTTGAAGGTGAGGGTGTGAATTTCTCAGTGTTGACAGGAGAATCCCCCCTTCCACATAACAGCAGATGTTCTTACACAGGACTGTTGGGGAGAGGTGGCATTCAAGTGATGAAGAAATAGGAGTCATTCATCAGTCTAGTGAGAAAGCAGCTCTGTGCTCACTTTGAAAGAGGCCAGTGCAAAAGATACCTAGGTAAGTAAAAATTACAAAACACTTAGAATAAAAACATTTGAAAGTCAACAGGGAAAAAATTACAGTAGTATCTTTGGGTGGTTAAGAGGGCAATGCAAATACAAATGTGAGAAATGTGTACAGAGCCTTAGCTTGCAGCATAGAACCATCTTAAATACTTAATTGGCTTGTTAGAAATTTGCAGGGGTAAGTCATAGGACTGGGGTACCAGCACAGCTCATTCTGGAAGGATGGGCTTGGAGAAATGTTTATAATATAATTGAAGGTTATCCATACTTCTTCTGAAGTTGATGAATAGATGTGACAGACCTAAATTAGAAAAAGAGCAGTCTCTTTGATGGGTGGGTGTAATTTAGGCCACTTCTCTGGGAGGAGTGAAAAGAAGTTCTTGAGCAGTTGGAAGTATGCACTTTATAGCCAAGCCTTGGTGGCAGTGGGCACTTCAGCTAGGTGATGGTTGGGAATGCAGCCTGGCAAATACCTCAGTGTACTAGTCTTGAAATACATTGAGGGCATTATGTATCACAGTGTAGAAGTTACTAGGAAGTTATTTAGTCTTGAGTTTTAGTAAGAATGGCTTGCCTGCATGTCTAAAGAGGGGAATGTTTTTAAAACTGAAAATTTACTTGAGAACACAATTTGTATTCCTTGACAGATGGTGGAATATATTGTCAGATTGTCTATACAGAATTAGATGGAAAGTAATAACAAATTTAATTGTTAGGAATAACTAATATTAAAATAATGAGATTTCCCAGTTTATTGGTTAGCTAGCTAAGGAAAAAAGAATGAGTGGTAGATAACAGTGGATATTCAACCCCACGGCTGGGGCTTGGGAACAAGATGATCTTTAAAGTCCCTTTCAAATCTAGTCACTTCATCACTCTATGATATCTTATAGACATTCTTCTTATCTCAACTTCTATCTGTTGATCTTTGTTATATTCTCTGACTAGATTACAAATTTAAATCTAGATAGTAAGACTGGGTAGTCTCCCTGAGTCAAAGTTGCCTGATTGGACAAATATCCTAATGAGGTGAAGAGGAAAGCAGACAAGGTTGGAGAACTAGAAAAAATTGCACAAGTAATAAAATCATGGTGCAGGTCACTTAAGGATAAAGTGGAATCTTCTTGACTGAACTTTTATAAGAACAAGTATGTCAGGTATTTTTCAGGTGCGCAGTGCAGGTCACTCCTAGGAAATGCATGGTTTTAATTGAGTAACACATCATGAGCTATATTTGTAAAGGTTATACAGCAGTTTCAAAAACAAAAGCATTTAAGAAAACCATGCCCTTCTGCAGACCACTGGCAAACAGAAGAAGAGCCAGAGTTCATCAATAGATGAGTCAGTGCTTCTATATCCTTCTCTGAGATACCCACATTAAATTCTTGCTGGCTTCAGCAGGAATTGTGGTCAGCCAGAAGAAGAGCGTGTTCTCTTGGCTCTGCTCTGGCCTAACTTTGATCTCACAAATTCATTGGCAATTTTTGGCAAGTAAAGAGACAAGGCTGTCCTAAACTGAGAAGATGCTTTAGCTATCCTCTTCCTTCTCCCCTCCCTTCCTTTTTCTTGCTTCTGCTTACCTTGTGGCCAGGGACTTTCTGTCCATTTTGTGACCACAAGGCTGGCCTGAATGCAAAGCCTTGCTTTATGAGCGACAGCCATAGAACTTCTTGCCTTTATTTCTCCATCTCTGCTTTCTTACAGAGGACTTTGCTCTTACTGCAGGGATGGCTCAATTGCTTGCAGGGTACAGTGTGATTTGCAAATTATGAAATTGCAGTAGTTTGATGTACTTTTATATTGATTTATACAAATGCCACTTTAATTGACTGCTTGGAATTGCAACTAGCAGTTCAGCAGCTGTTTCACAAGCCATACTTGCAGTAGGGGAACCTCAGGCAGATGGGTGAGATGAATGTTGAGAAGTGGGAATCAGCGTAGTCATCCCAAGAGAAATCATCCCCATTTGTGAGTCAAAGCCTTCAGTCTCTTGCCTGAGACGAAGGGAATCTCCCAAGGCAGCTTATTTTGCACAATCTTATCAACTGAGATCAAATATCATGGTATTAGTTCAACAGATACACGCAATAAATACACGCATACCTCACTCAAATTCACATTTAGCTCTAGCCAAAACACAACCCAAACCATGATCCAAATAGCCTCCTCCTCAGCCCACCTTCGTTGCAGTTCTGTTTCAGTGGCAAATGCAGCACAGAGAAGACTGCCTGAACGCTTAATTCAGAAATTTACTGTTTAAGGCATTACTTGTATGAACACCAGCGTAACACATAGAATACCAATGCCCTTAATTTAGTAGTTTTGTCTGAGTCATTTTCACTGCGTGGGAGGGCTGTGAAGACACTCCACCGAGTGGAGAAACTTGCTGGTGCTGTCTGTCCAATGAGATTATTTTTTAAAAAAGTCAACATAACAGAACCACAGATCTGTTTGTGAGTAAAATGCAATTTTGTTGCAGACTTCGGTACAGGAAAGGGGTGGTGATGCTCTCCACCCACTTCAAAAGCTGAAGTCAAGCTTAACTGATATGTATCTGATGCTGAAATAGGTACTGAATTTTTCATGACAGCAACACACAGACACAGGTAAACACTCCGGCTGCGTGATTTGAAGGGGCATAATGTGGTGTAATCCCCAGATTGGTCTGTGCAATTCCATCTTATTTTCAGATATAGCAATAGCATCTGAGTTGTTACCCACCAACGGCCAAAAGCTATTCCTGGGTTTATTCACAGGGTGAAATTTTGTCCTACTGAAGAAAAGGTAACTTTTGCCACAGAAATTGTTCGCTAGGGCTAGGAATATACACAAAAATTTTTAAAGTAGATACAGGTGAAAGCAATTAAGTTTGGGAGAGAAAGAGGCACTGAGACTTCTGAGCTGCCAACATTCACCTTTCTATCAATCTGCAGTTTGTTCTTACTCAGTTAGCTTCTCTTCTTAAATGCAGCTGACTTCAAGTTAATATGAATGTAGTATTTCCATTTTCCTGGGCAAAGTTTTCTAGGACCCCACTGAATAAAACTGTCCCTCTCCTCAAGTGAAAACCTAACTTCACTGTGCCTGAATTTAAGAATCCATCACAATTTTTCTTTGAATAAGAATTCCAACTCAACCTCTGCACTCTGTGTTTGGAGTGGACCCTTCACCAAGCAGAGATTAAGCATGTTTTTCATGTGCTGTACACTGCCTTCTGGCAACCATGGCAAATATGTAAACATGCTGGGCCTTGATGCTATGGCCCTGGTTCTTGTGAGCAGTGCCACTGAGTTCAATGCTCTGCTCACACTAACTGCAGAATCAGTCGTGTGTTCCATGTCAGTGAGATGAACTCTGTTCCTACAGAAACTCCAGTAAAATCAGAAGTTTGTTAATAGAAAAAACAAACAAAACAACTAGTTAGCTGTTATCACAAATGGAGCAAAATGCCAAATACAATCCTGCTGTTCTATTTGTTCCTGTACAGACATTTAGCTGCCAGGAAGACCAGTCTTATAAATGTGGAATTATATCCATGGTAACATGCAAGCCATGTTTAACTTTGCAGCATGGTAAAAGGTACATTAGAAGAAAAAAATCTGTTTTACTGTTGAGAATAGCAATTACGACTTTTAAGGTAGTTATTTTGACTCTTGGGAATTGACTTGTGAGGGTAAGAGCCAGAGGCACAACCCCTTCCACAAAGCACTTGACATTGCTAGACATGCTACAAGGTATTATTGCTTAAATACAGCCTATATTTTCATTATCCAGATTCTTTTTACTAAAAAGATGTGACAGGTTATGATATTGGACTGTAGCGAAGTCCCAGCTGTGCTATTCTACTGTTTAGATGCAGCGGTGCTGGGGCTATGCAGCTATCATGTAGATACCCTTTATGTTAAGTGTTGGACTCAAGGACCTTGCTTTGTGATACAGCAGTATTCTGGGATTATAAGCACTCAGGCACTTTTGTGCTGGAAATCAGATGTTTCTTACAGAGGCAGGCAAGCAGCTGGAGTAGGGAGTAGACTGAACTGGGATCTGGGCAGGAGCACATTGGGAGAAGTAACTGTTAGATCCCAACTTGGAGCAAAAACTGAAGCTGAAAACTACAGATGGTTTTCGTGTATGTATGATAATGTCAAACCCAAAAAAAGGGAGTTTTCACACTCTCTTGTCTGTTTAGTGCACAGTGAAAATTATATGCTAGAAAATGGAGCCCTGTGTCTATACAATATCGTGTCAGGCTCAATGGAAATTGGGTTTGACAGCTTTTCTGTAGGCCAGGCCTCTGGAGCCTTGAGCTCTATTTGCCATGGAGAAGAGCGAGGGAAAGAGAGCAATCGCAGTGGGATCTGTCCTCCATGCTTTTTATCTATTAGCCCCTACATGGTGATGCCACCCTTAGTCAATTGTTGTGCTAGGACTGACTTCTCAAAAACAGGAATTTCCTCTCTAGAGGCAGCAGAAGAGCCCATGCTGGAAGTGAGAGAGGTGCTGGAGGCCACAGTTACAGCAGCTAAATCCCACAAAGCATGCTGGAGAGGAACAGGATATTCTGGTAGCTACTGTCTTGTGCATGTCATGAAGCAAATGGGCTGGTGGGTACAGTAGTCTGGCTGCCTGGCTCTGAAAAGAGGGCAACATCTTTATGGAATATTCATGTTTTTGCTATCTTCCCTCATGTGTTCTTCAGTGTTCTGTTTTTGTGTTTTTTTTCTTGTTTGGTTGGGTTTTTTTTTTTTGTTTTTTGTTTTTCTTTTTTCTTTGAGCTTCACAGAGGTAAAGTAAAGATGATACAAGGTCACTTCATGCAGAAGTTTATGAACGTATGTACTGGCCCATACCTCTCATAATAGACAAGTGGAGATAGTTTACCAGCACAACCTGCCCCTTACTTGATTAAAGTAATTTTTTTTCCATTTTTAACTAACAGTCGACACAGGTGTATCAGGAGGAACTCAGACTTACCTTTCTCCAACTGGACAA